AATCACTCACCTTTTAAACTCTATTCTTGTTTTACTGTCATATAGTATTTTATAACTGTTTTTCATGTATTCTCATAAATGGTGACCAAAACGTTTGAGACCCACTGAGATAACTAGACTAAAGTTAACTATCTAAACAGAGAGTCCCTTACCTCACTGAGCTGGAGTTATCTCTCAGTCTGACAGGACAAAGCTTTCCCTTTCCTTGTTTTAGAAACAGCTTTTAATATCCGTTAAGCTAACCAGATGCTAACAACAACAATGCAAATAGTGAGTTTGGTAGAAATATACTGTATAATAGTAAAGTTATTGAAGATGATGCCATATTTATTGAAGATTTTACATTATAAATATTCCCCAAAATTATTCAAAAGCATATTCTTCCAAACTCCTTGATGAATGACACACAGGAGACTATTGATGTGTGTACTGAGTTTGGTAGTAATAAGCTGTATAATAGTGATTTAATATTATTGTATTCTCTTTTTTCGGAGTTGCACTTTGCAGACGGTCCCTGAGCACTCGTTTCTTCTCCGGCTGCGGATAGAGACCAATGTAATGTGTCCAGCTCGGAGGACGGGGCGTATTGTGATTGATGAAAATGTGATTGTCGTTCGTTGTCAACCTTACCACGGTACTTAGGGGACGTCATTTGTGTCTGATCAACGTTTTGTTCATGAGTTATTGTTCCGTGAAATCAGAATCTCCCAATATCGTTCCAACTTTACTGAACTAAGCCAGAAGACCGTCTCATTTCGTAGACTGCTCGGTTTTTCTGTTCCTTCACTTTATTTTTATATACATTTATTTTGGACGAAAACTTAGCGTGAGGAAAGGCATACGTGGCGTGAGTGCGTGAGATATGGGTTAATTACAGTTTGACTAATAAGCAAACTACAAATAAAAGTATTTAAACCTGTGGAATGCAGCCGCAGGTACCGCTTGTCATGTGACAAGAAACAACCAATTGCAGCCGAGAGATATCTTTACTTCCGTAAACACAAGTGTACGGCAAAATGGTGGAGGTTAATTTAAATTGATTTCAGTGCGGGTCTATCGTTACCCCGACGTTAAGATCGGTCCAGTGTGTCAGCCATTTCCATGTTATGAGCCCTGCACCGCTGCTAAAATGTCTCACGATGTCAGACGCTGTCGGATCTCAAGTGCCGGTGTCCGGAAAACACACACAGCACAAACACAAACAAACACACCGAGTAGAGGAAAGCAGAGATAGAAACACCGTTTTCCATGGAAAACACTGCTGTCCCACGAAAACTATTTAAATACAACTTTAAAGAACAACACCCTGAATAAGTTCAGATGGTTGCTTAGCAACATTAAGCGCGAACTGCCTCAGCGACCCTGAGAAGTAGATGCACAAGACCTCGCGTTTACGATGCGGTAAAAACCGCTCTTGTGAAGGGCCCCTTGGCTTTAAACTATACATTTTAAATCTTGGAGAGACCCAGTGTTACTTTGTAGAGATCTACAGGGAAGATGGAGAGCTTGGCACCTGACGAAAACAATTTGCACAAGACAGGCCCCGTTTCAGCCTATCATCATTATGTCCTGTCATCCATCCTTCCCGATGCTCAACAGGAATTCCTCTGCATGCAGAAGAAAAACAAAGCTTTGGAAAAGGAGAACGAGATCCTCAAGAAGAAGGTGGAGTCTTTGATGACTGATTGTGAGCAGTTTAAAGCAGAGCGGCAAAGAATCCACGATGTGATCAAAAACAGAGACCACCAGAGGAACCAGCTGTTGCACTGCAAAAATGAACTGTCTGCTTTGGGTAAGAAGATGGCCTTCCAGCAAACTGAACTGAAGAGAGAGCATAAACAAAATAAAACTGTCAAAGAAGAGCTGGAGTCAGTTAAAAAAGAGCTCCAATCAGTGAAGCAGGGGGCTTTCGCCAAGAGGACAGAGCAGCAACACCTGAAGCAACAGCTGGACCAGGTGGTCAAAGAGAGAGACATTCTGAATGACGCTTTGCTGCGCTGCAAACTCGAATGCTCAGAGTTGCGTGAAAAGATTTGCTACCAGCAATCAAGCGCGAACAAGAAGGACCGTCAGTGCAAAAAGCAGATGAAGGAAATCCACTTCCTCAATCTAGAGAAGCAGACACTCGAGAAGGAGAGGTGCATCACTGAAAGCAATGCAGAGGAACAGAAGCGGGAGCTCCGAAAGTGTGAGGAAGATCTCCAGACACAGAAGGAGAAATTCAAAGAGAGCAAAAAAATGCAGGAAAAGGGGAAAAAAATAGCCATAATCCAAGAAAGTCCACGCAAAATAAAAAAACCAAGACAAAAGGTGCCTCACCCGAAGGTTCAGTCTCTACAGAAAGAGCTGCTTGCCCAGGCCGAGGAGCTGAGGGCCACGCAGAAGCTCTGTGAGGAGCTGAAGAAAAAAGTGACCGAGGTAGCTGTGCAGTTCGAGCAGTGCCAGGCGGCGATCAGGGACCAGAAAGAGAAGCTCAAGGCCGTAACAGCAGAGAGGAACATGTACAGAAGTCTGACTGAAACACTGGGAACTGAGTTAGTGGACATCAAAAAAGCGCAGCGCAGCGAAAAACAGCGGAATAAAGCGACCAAGAGGGCAAAGAAAGTCAAGGTGCCATCAGAGGAAAAGTCAAAGGGGTCCCGTCTCCCACCAACATCCAGTAAAGTCCAGATGCAGTCCGATTTAAGGATTATGGGGAAAAAACTTTAGAGTTTTTCCTTCTCCTCTTCTGAATAAACTGACATAACGCCATTCTGATGTAGTTCTGCTTGTCTGTGTGAGGTACATTAGACAATCCTGTTTTGAATTTAGTTAATAAATACATTGTGATTTTGGGTTACACTGATGTGTTACATCGGTTATTAGTGGTTTGATGGGGAAAAGCAAACAAAATAAGTATGCTACAAAAGTGTTATGGTTGGAAAAAGGTTTTTCTGAGTTGTTTTGACAGCTGCCAATCCTTTCTTGCTTGTCATAGATTATACAGAATCTTAACTAACGGGTATCGTTCCTAAAGATTTACTGTATCATTTTGATTTCACTGCAGGTGAGAACAAAAGCAAGTCAATATTCAACGTGGGAGAGATCACAAGACTGTTGAAGTTTCCAGGTGTGATGCGGACTTTTGTTGTGAAGATAATTGCAGGTTTACCATCAGGTGAGAGTTTCTGTGAGATTCCACAGAGAACACATGTGCTCTGTGTGAAGCACACATGTTTCTTCCCTCATAAATCCTCTGTTCTCTGAAGTACTGCTCTTCTCTTTCCTCAGGGATTTTTCAAGTAATGTTCTCAATCATTGCAATGGAGTTCTTCAAGCTGAAACCCCAGCAGAACGGCTATCTGATGGCTTATTTTGGTATAACTTCAATGGTTAGTGTCACTTCAAGTGAGTTTTTGCACTCATGATGCTATCTGTAAGACAAAGTCAATTAATCCTGGGTGTTTGTTCAGGTTATTCAGGGAGGAGTGATCGGTCGGATGACTGCGAGATACTCTGAGGGCTCTCTGCTGCTTCTGTCCATAGGAGTTTCTTCTTTGGTGGGACTTGCTCAGGTACACACACGCACAAATGCAAGGCTTATACTGTCATAGGCTGGGTGTATTTCAAAAACTGCACTAGTCCATTTCTAATAATACCTGAAAAAACAGCTTTGTTTCAGTTCGGTGAAACCAAATCATTCAATCTGTATGTTTTTTCCTTGTTTATCATTTCCTAATATCTTCCTTCATTTTGTATTTCTTCTACAATCATCCAATAGTGGTTGAAATATTTCACTTCAAGCAACAAGTCTGAACCAGCCAGTACTGCTAGAGCAGATAACCAAACTCATTAGACTTTATCTTCTGGGGATATCTTCTTTATCTCCTGCACCTCTTGCTCGGAAACGTTTTTATTTTATTTTGACATCTATTTCTTTCTTTCTTCAGGCTTACATGCAGAATGTGTTCCAGTTCTGCCTTACCGTCATCCCGATGATGTTTGCTCTCAGTACATTTAATGTCATCACAGATAGCATGCTCACCAAGAATGTGCCATCCTCTGACACAGGTGAGCTCACCCTGCATCCTTTCTGCACAACATTCATAAAACCATTAACAGCAAGTGCTCTTTCCATGGCTCACATTTCACACAGGGATATTCTGTTCACTTGATTTGTAACCAGATCTGATTACTGCGGCTTTAAACTATTTAAGGGAATGAAGTGTCATTTTACAGAATTCTAATCTCTTATGTTTCAGTGTCATGTGTTAAAAACTCAAACCAAAAAGAACAGAAAATAATCTGAAGAGTACAGGCCCACTTTTTGTAATCCAGTTGTTATTAAACCTGCTTTGCTCTTGTCCTCAGGCACGATGCTGGGGCTGTGTGCATCCGTCCAATCTCTTCTTCGTACAGTAGGACCGACGGTTGGTGGCTTCCTGTATGTGAACTACGGAGTTTCCTCCATCGGCCTTATCCAGTTTGTCGTGAATATAGCCGTGTTTGTGTACCTGCTGCAGCGCCACTTCACAAAGACAGCCAAGCAAAAGGAATGAAATATTTTAGTTTTTTTAAAAGCTTATTTTTCGTATCCAATTCATCCACCAACTGATAGAGGAGCTGGAAATTCAAGTTTAGATTTTTAGGGACAATCATCTCTACATGTGCATATATTCAATTAAATCTGTCGCAGGTGTTTACATGATGAGATAAGGTCAAGCCTTTCCACTCCTCCATTATTCAGATTCCCTGTGGAATGGATAATGTTGCTGGTTAATCTTTGGTGGAGATGCAGGACTCAACCACTAGATGGCAGCAAGCCCTTAATTTGACCAGATGATGCTGTTGTGTTCCATCATTCACAATAGGTAAAATCACTTTTAAACACACTTTAAAATCCGTTACAGATTTACAGAATCAAAAATGATTAAATATTAGACATATCAACTAGCTCCTAAAAGAACACAGTTATATCAGATTTTTTTTAAATGAAAGTTTATTTTCTTATTGGTCATTATTGTTTAATAAATATTAAAAAAATATATATAAATTAGGGCTGTCAAGTTAACGCGTTAACCCAAAAAAAAAAAATTAACGCCACTAATTATTTTAACGCGATTAACGCATGTGTATTTGTTGTCCTCGGCCGCCCCGTAGTTTCAGAGCGCATCGAGTTTAAAATACCATCTACAAGCTGATGCTGACAGCCCCGCTCCTGCCGTCCGCTTGCGGCAGACCACACTTCCACGCTCACCGGCAGACAGTCACCGACTGGCCATCGGGAGGACCGGGAGGGTGTGTGTACAGTATGTGTGGCGCGAGAGAGAGACCTTACGTGTATTGTTGTTGTTGTTGTTGTTGTTGTTGTTGTTGTTGTTGTTGTTGTTGTTAGCATCTGGTGCTAGCTAGCTGCGCTAACGGATATAAGGAGCTGTTTAAATGAAAACAGAGGAGTGACATTTGGCCGACAACTGCGCTGAGCACTTCACTTTATGCAGGTAGCCAGACAGTGGGACATAGTGGGAAAAGTCAGCACACTCAGCACGGATAGTGCGCGCAACATGATTGCAGCGTCCAGGCAGCTCCCGTTCGAGCATATGCCTTGAGTTGCACATAGCTCCAACGATCCATCACACACACACACACACACACACACACACACACACACGCACGCACGCACGCACACACACACACACACACACACACTTTGTATTGTATTATTGTATGAGAGAGGTTCAAGATTGAATTGAGGCGAATATTTGTAATGTTCAGAGGTTGTTGTGTTTAATATTCATGAGAATATTTGTCATTGTTCAAATGATAATAAACATTTACATAAAGCATATTTGTCCACTCATATGTTGATAAGAGTATTAAAAACTTGAAAAATATTCCTCTAAGGTACATTTAGAACAGATAAAAAATGTGCGATTAATTTGCGATTAATCGCGATTAACTATGGACGATCATGCGATTAATCGCGATGAAATATTTTAATCGACTGACAGCCCTAATATAAATATATTTTTGTACATTTTTTTATTAAAAATCATAAATGCATTATAACAGAACTTTATAATTCACTTCATCTTAATAAATGCTGCTTTAACTCACTTGACAGTTCAAGTGACTAGTGATGGTCAAAATACTTTTTTGCGTGAATAAACATTTGGCAGAAACATTTAATATATCTGTAATTTCAATAGTCCTATACATAATATAATTTATATTGTCAAAACATTTCAGCATTTTCAGCTTAGTGACGACAGTCCGGCCATTAAAAAGCACCGGCAACTTTTACCCTTCTATTAATACTATGGAATTAGACTGGATTTATTTCATGGTTTATATATTGGGGATCTTGACAGACCATCAGTATCTCGTCGGCGAGTTGTTAGCTTAGTTAGTTTCACCAAAAGAGATTCCCCTTTAAACTTCTCAGGTAGTTTCATTTGAATAACTGCCTGAGGACCAAAGAGGTAAAACAGACCAGTATTTCACAAAGGATTCCTAAAAAATGAAAAAAGTATTGTCCATTTGATATTTTTTTGTTCTTCTTTCCTCTTTAATTAATCACCATCTGTCTATTTTAGGATCCTTATGACGGGAAACACTGAACTACCTAACTGTTAATAAAGTACAATAGATTAATTACCCTATTTAAGTTATAATGCATATAATCAAATAATGTAAACTATATTCATTTATCAGTTACAGTAAATATTTATCTCAAGAATAAGTACTTAAATATTATTTTAAACAGGAATTTTACTTGTAATCTAGTACTTTTTGTATTGGTAGTGTTACTTAAAAAAAGGATAGAAATACTCCCAACACAATGCTAATACTTATTAAGATTAACAGATATTATATCACAAGTGTATAAAAAACAAATGACATGCTGTGTGGAGGATAAACAAATCCTTTGGGAATAATCAAAGTTATTCATATTTATTTACAGTTTTATGCTTTTTCAGTTACCAAGCTGTATCATGTTGGAGTGATGTCATACATTCTGCAGCAGCTGTTTTCATTGTTTCTACAAAACACACCCTTAGACATATTACATCCTGCGATCCGGGATAAATGTGACGTCATTTTAACGGGGGATATTATGGAGCAGGCACCTTCAACATATGTCACTGTGGTGATGTCTTCGCCCGTCTGTTGGTCCAAATATGTGATAAGAGGAGCAACACAAACAGCGGCATTATTCAAACTTAATGTATGTATGTATTCTTGGTCTTTTGATTTTTTTTTTGGCAAAGTATTCAGCCAATTAAGGTAGTCATTTTCGTCTTTTTAAAACTTAAAACATAGCTTTTTTTTTGTTATTCTTGAACATTTTACAATTGTAATTAAAAGGCGGTTCAAGGAATTCACTTTAAAATTATTTGAGTGGGTTTTAATGCCAAATTCTTATGTCAGAATTATGAATGCGATTTTTTCATCTGGGATAAATCTACTGTTTTTCTAAATTAACTGAATTATGAACTCAACCTTCACTTGCATTATTATAGATGCTTAAGTTACTTTTAAACATGTTTTATTCAAATTTCAAAATATTTGTTATTAAATGTAGGCACATTTAAAGGATATATTTAGTAACTCTTAGCTAGCAGTGTGACCTGTTTAGGCGGAATGCACCTCTAATGTGATCAGCAGTCTCAATGCCAATCCCATCATCTGAGCCTGATCCTGCATCTACACCTACTCATTTCTCGCTGGAGTCTGAGTCTGCGAATGTATTGCTCACACACACATTTGTTTTGCCAACACACTCTCACTCCATAATCGTCCAGGAGCGACGTTTGGTCAGGGTCCCGTGGCGTGCAGTTGTGACGCTCCTATAGGCTCCTTCAGCTTCATAAAGGGACGAAAATAGCTTTCAACTGATTGCAATGTATTCCCATCTGCGGTGGGATTTGACGCTCATGGAAGCACGGCATTCGTTTGTGTCGGCTGCCCTTAAAGGAAATGTGAGCGTCCATTCCCATTGGATAACGGAGAATTGTACACCCGGAAGTAAGTATTCCCCTTACTGTCGATTGATTTTACAGTGATATCTGCACTACTCATCGACTAAAAAACACCAGATTATCCTTGTTAATTACACAACAACCGCCAGAGGTTGCTGTATACCTAAAACCGCCAACGGGTAAAATGTACCCGCTATTGATTTCCAAGGTACAATGTTCTTTTATT